GGGGGGGGGGGGGGGTGGTCCCCTCAGCTCAGCCTGCACCCTCGCCAATCTGAGACCCCTCGGGGGCTGTCCAACTGCCGGGACTGTCCAGCAGTCAAACATCCTTCTCACAATCTGGGACTGGTGGCTCCTAACTGCTCACCTGCCTGCCTGCCTGATCACCTCTAACTGGCCCCCCTGCCAGTCTGATCACCACTAACTGCCTCTGCCTGCTGACTTGATCACCCATCATTGCCCCTTCAGCTGACCTGGTTTCCCCTCACTGCCCCGCCAGCTAGTCTGGTAACCCCCAACTGCCCCCCCTGCTGGCTTGGTTGCCACTCACGCGCGCCCCCCCTCACCCCCCCCCACCCCCCGCCAGCCAGGTCGCCCCCAACTGCTCTCCCTGATGGCCTGGTCATGCCTCATTGTCCCCCACTGCTGGCCTGGTTGCCGCCAACTGCCCCCTCTGCCAGCCTGGTTGCCCCTCACTGCCCCCCCTGCCAACCTGGTCACCCCACACTGCCTGCTGCTCAGTCGTCTGGTCGTCCCTCACTGAACCCCCCTGCTGGCCTGGTCGCCCATGCAGCCTGCTCCTCAGTCGTTTGGTCGTCCTTCATTAACTCCCCTGCTGGACTTGTCACCGCACTCAGCCTGTTCAGTCATCATTCACTTGTTTCGGTTGTGACGGCCCTGGCTCTTTATATATATAAATTTTAAGATCTCTGGAGAGCAACTTCAGATATCTATAAGACAGACCTGAATCTAATCTTCTAAATAAGTGAGAGCCCCAGTTCCACATTCCACAAGCCTCTCGCATCAATCTATCCTCCTCAGTGTTGAGATGAATATTGCACCGCTGCCATGTAAAGCCTACCATAAGTCCATGACAGAACACACACACTACATCCACTTTTAATGGGTACACCATTGCGGTTCTTTTATGATCTGGCCAAACTGTTTCTTAAACAGTATGCCTTTGCAACATAGCAATCCCCAAAGTGGTCCTGGTGAGAATAGAAAAGCCATTGGGTGACAAATTAAATTAACAGAGCAGTATCCACTTATGTGCATCCAGCTTCTATCGTTACTCTTCTTTCTTTCCTTAAAATATGTTCCCCAAGTTTGAGAATTTGGCTAAATGGAAACATGGCCTCATAAACAAGTTGAATGCATAAATTCATAGTTACCATTTCCATCTAGAAACCTTTTCATGAAATGTTCCATATCATTCCCAGCTTCAAGCGTGACCACCAGATTTGAAAAGTGAAAGTATGAAGTCATAACATCCTTGGGGTTTCTGTAGACGTAAATAATCTGCAGGGGGTACAGGAAAACAATTTTAACAATTCTTGGTTGTCCTTAGAGGTTGTTGTTGTTTATTCACACCAACAGATGTCACTATATGAATGCATAATAATTTGTTTCATCCAGCTTACTACTCATGGAAATTTAGGTTATACTTTTTTTTTTGATATTACAAAAACTGTTGAAGTAATCAACTTTATTGACCTGACATTTTACATGTGCAAGCATATAGGAATAATTTCTAAAAGTAAAATTATTTATTTAATTAAGGTTGGTTAATATTACAAATTACCCTTCATAAAAACTGTTTCAATGTACCCTCTGTGAGCGTTAAGTGACATTTGATAAAAAGCCCAGATAGCACTTGAGAGCATTTCAAAAGGAAAAACTACTTAACAGATGATGTTGAAACAAATAATTATCCATACAGTATAAAACTGGAATTCTACTTCATACCTCACACCTGACCCCCACCCCCTCCCCAAATTACAAATGGATTAAGGATTTAAATATGAAAGCAACATTTGACATCTTAAAAATAAAAAATATCTTTCTGGTCTCAGAGAAGAAAAAGATTTCCGAAACAGAAAAATATTATTTTAGTTAAAATAAAAATTGATCAATTAAATTAAATTAATTTTAAAGAATGCTGTTCATCAAAATATATAGCATGAAGTTACAAAAAGCAACAAAGTATGAGAAAAGCAACACATATAACCAATAATTTATTAGTATCCAGAATATATATAAAACAAATCATTAAGAAAGAGACAATGAAATTTAGAAATTGGACAAAAATCATAATAATTTCACAGAATAAGAAATAATTATGGCCAATAAACATATCAAAAAGTGTTTAATCTCATTATTGATTAGTAAAATGCAAACTCAGATTAGTTTGAGATAATTTATAGTTTATATTAAAAACTAAAAAGTTTGGCCCTAGCCTGTTTGGCTCAGTGGATAGAGCGTGGGACTCTGGACCTAAGGGTCCCGGGTTCGATTCTGGTCAAGGACAGGTTACCTAGGTTGCAGGCTCATCTTGGCCTGCACCCTGGTCGAGGCTCATGCAGGAGGCAACCAATGTGTTTCTCTCGTATCGATATTTCTCTTTGTTTTCCCTCTCTCTTCTACTCTCCCAAAAATCAATGGAAAAATATCCTCGGGTGAAGATTAAAAAAAAAGAAAAAAGAATGTGTATTGTGATGTAATATATACATTTGCTGCAACTTATCTGTCCACCAATACACTAAACATTGTAGAGCCATACAATAAATTCTACTAGACCATTAAAAAGAATAGAATTTTATGTGCTATCATCAAAGAAATGTTGCTGTATACTATATAATCACACTACAGACAATGTGAGAGATGACCCAATTTATGTATATACTTATAATTCCATATGTATTTAATGTGTAAAACAGTATCAAAGATTATAATCATCACATTTGAAAGACTGTGAATGAGTGAGGCTGGAAAAATATATTTGAAGAAAGTATTTTTGTTTGTGCCAAAGGTCCATTAGCTATTTATATGACTTACTTTAGCTTTTTTGCTCCTGATACCTTTCGGTACTAAATAATATGGGAGGTGGGAACAGAAGAGGCGAGGAGACGGTCTGTTGAGAAAGTCCATTTTGCGGATATTGTATTCCAAGAAGGGGATTCTATCAAGCGTTGCCAAGTCTTCAGTTCTGTTACGATGACCCTCAAAATAAATCAAGCTTAGTATCTGCTGAGTCCAGATGGTACCTGTAAAAAGAAATAATTTCATTTCCAACCCTGAATTAATGTTTTATTGACAATGTCAATAATTATGCCATCTATCTCAAAACTATTTGGAGCTTTTTCTTTCTTTTTAACCACTTTAAATATGCCAAGGAAATGTGCCCAACTTTTTTTCTATGTGTTTTACATTAAAATTAGGTGTTCTAAGTTCCATTTTTACTGGAAAAGAGTTGTAATAGTGATTTAGATTAACCCTTCAGCTCTTTTGTTCCCTGTGATTCATGTACGTTCTGTTCATGTGATTTTCTGCGGCTGTCTCTGTTTCTCCTTCCTTAGTTTTTCTTACATTTTACCTTTTGGAAATATAGACAGTTTAAGAGATCAAGACCCCTTTCACCTTTTCTTTTTAACATTGTGCAGGTCTCCCAATACAGTGCTAAATGAAAGTACTGATGGGCATTCTTGTCTCATACTTGATTTAAAATGTTTCACTCTCGCATTTGACGTCTGTGGTAGTTTTTGGTAGATTCTATTCGTCAGGATAAAACTCACTTTCTCCCTAGTTTGCTAATAGTCTCCCTTAGGAATGTATGCTGAATTTTATTAAATCCTTGTTCTGTACCTGTTGAAATGATAATTCAGGCTTTCTTCTATGCTCTAGTAATGTGGGTGAACTGCATTCATATATTTTTAAACCAATCTTGAAATAAAGCCACCTGGTAACAGTAGTATTTTTTTTGTTTGTTTTTATTGACATTGCTAGATTTGTTTCACTTATATTTATTTGGTTTAGGATTTTTGAACCTATGTTCATGAATATATAATCAATGTTCTAAAAGAATGTGAGGTGTCAATAATCTTCCAATCATTACTACTCAATTGAGTAGATTTAATAGACACGGAAGATTTGATAAAATTTATGGTGAATCTTGGAGAGTCACTAATCTCCCCTCTAAGATGAGTAAGAACCCAGCAGGCTGGACTAAGGACTGGTGTGTGGTGTACCAAATAGGCTGGATTAAGGGTAAAGGAAAAATTCTTATGGGCTGCTTAACCTAAAACTAAGCAAACTGAGGCACCGCCAACATCTAAGGGAGGAAAATAAAAAACACCTGATATCAAATGTGCTGACACATTTTGCAGAGTAGAAACATCCAGGGAAAAGGCATTGTATTACTAATTTGGGGAAAGTAAACAGGGTCCTGAATTTGAAAGTCAATGGTAAAAGGGAGGGACTGGAGCACTTGCATGAAAATCAGGAATGACTTTTTGGTGTTGACTTTGACTCCAATGTATCTCTGAGCTATTTTAACCACTTTGTACAACATTGATTCAAGAACACCAGTCACCCTGTGTTCTAAAAAGCACATAAAAAGATAAGCTTTTAAGGGAATGTAAGATTTGAGGACAATTTCCATTAGTTCAAAATTCTTTCATTATTATAGGGAAATAAAAGCAATTAGGGTAATTGAAAAGCATATTAGGAATTAGTTCTGACTGAGAGATCCTGCTAACCAAACTCCTGCTGGGTTTTTTTTTTTTACATGTTTTCTTCCATTCTCAGAGAAAGCCAACAGGTCAGCATTGACCTAGTACAGTGATGGTGAACCTATGACACGCGTGTCAGAGGTGACACGCGAACTCATTATTTTGGTTGATTTTTCTTTGTTAAATGGCATTTAAATATATAAAATAAATATCAAAAATATAAATCTTTGTTTTACTATGGTTGCAAATATCAAAAAATTTCTATATGTGACATGACACCAGAGTTAAGTTAGGGTTTTACAAAATGCTGGCACGCCGAGCTCAAAAGGTTCTCCATCACTGACCTAGTATCTGCTTTGGCTCAATATTTGGTTTCTTCTGAGGTGCCTTAAAAAACAACAATATATGCATTTTAAAGGACCTTATACAGTAAAACTTTGAGATTTATTTAACTTTATTAAAAATCCTAATGGTGCTCTAAATGTAGATTGGGATACTGTTAATGTCTGGAAAAGGGCTCATTTGTACACATGTATTACCAAACCTGAGTGAAAACTGATAGCAGGTAGTCCACTCCTCAAACTTACCAGATTTTGGATATGTAATTATGAAGACATCATCATCTCTAATTTCAAAATCATCTAGATTTTCTATAAAGTCAGCATCAACTAAAGAAGATTCAAAATTATAGTCTTTAAAGTTCAGCAAATATGTGTCTTTGTTGTCCATACTTATTCACCTACAAGTAAAAACAAATAAAATTCTTTCAATTTCTTAGTATTTTATAGTAATTACTAACACTTACTGAGTGTTCAATATATGCCAAGCACCTTTTAAATGTCATGTGTCTCAACCCATGCCATACTAAACAGCATCCTATATAATAAAACCCTAATATGCAAATTGACTGAACTGCAGAAGGACCAGTCACTTATGATGCGCACTAACCACCAGGGGTCAGACACTCAATGCAGGAGCTGACCCCTGGGGTCAGTGCACTTTCACAGGGGGAGGGGCGCTCAGCAAGAAGCTGGGCTCATGGCTGGCGAGTGCAGCAATGGGAGCGGCAGCTTCTCCTTCCTCCACTGCAGGTGGGAGGTAATGAGTGAGGGGTGCCAGACTATGAGAGCCCGGACTGTGAGAGGGATGTCTGACTGCCAGCTCAGGCCTGATCCAGCAGGCGGACATCCCCTGAGGGGTCTCGGACTGGGAGAGGGCGCAGACCAGGCTGAGGGCCCTTCCCTCCCACCAGTGCACAAATCCGTGCACTGGGACTCTAGTGCATATATAAAAATTTACTCTTAACAGCAACCAAACATTACTAGAGGTTTTATCATTATTTTAAAGAGGAGGAAACTAAGATACTAAAAGGTTAAACAGCTTTTTCTAAAACCCCATGAGGGAGGTATTATCATGATTCCAAACATAGAACCAAGGAAAATAAGGTAAAGGAGGTGCAAGGTTGCCCAGCTGGCAGACCTGGCAGGATTAGATGCCAGACTATTTGGCCACAGAGACCATGCCTTCAATCACTTTACTAATACAGTTTCTAAGTATTTCATATTTTTATTATTATAGAAATAGGAAATTACTTTCTTTTTTTTTTTCTGAAACAGAAATAATCTGTTGTCCTTGAGAGAAGTTTAAGAAGTCAAAATATAAATAGGAAGCACACAGTCTAAAGACATATCTGT